GACTTTAGTAAAAGGTGTATGCACTACACTTTTAAATGTGAGCATTTTAGATAACTCTATTTGATGTGTAACCTGTCTGTGTTTGTGTTTGCAGGGAGTAGAGGACGCCTTCTATACACTGGTTAGGGAGATAAGACAGCATAAGCTGAGAAAGCTGAACCCACCTGATGAGAGCGGACAGGACTGTATGAGCTGCCGCTGTGTGGTATCGTGATGCAGGTGAGACCTTTGTCTAGAAAGTTCTTTCACAGTACCTACAAAGTACCTCACTATTGTCTACAGCTTGTAACACTCTGCTGGAACTCTTAACTCTTTTTAAAAGAATACATTTAATGACTCTTCTTCTGCACGTTGTTTTTCGACATCTCTCGTTTTTTTAAAATATCAATAGAATAGCACTGACATTTGTCACTCTCTCTTGTCATGTTTTTCTCCCAGCTGACCGTTGCACGTCGAGGAGAAATGCTACAGCGTGTAGCGGCAGCATGGACTTAAAAGAAAGAAAGATGAAACAACTCGATGATGAAATATAAACTTTTTTCAAAAAGAGGATGATTGAAGCAAAAGCCCTCAAGAAAACCACCTAAGCTGACTGAACCATGGATCTTTATGGACAGCAGGGTTTGGACTGTTGCCTTAGTGGCTCCCTGAACTAGCCTGGTCCGGCCCCAATTTTTTGGTCTTCATGTCGAACCTGAGAGCTACACCACTACTGACTCTTTGTCAACTCCAGTGTGGTCTCGCTGGGTGGCTCATCAAGTTCCCTGCTAACTTATTGTTTTCAGTCTCAACACTGGTCTTAAAGGGGGTGTCTCTGACCTCCTCCCACCTTAAAAAGCCTAATCCTCCCCCCCCCCCCCCCCCACATCCTCGCCTGCCCACTGGAAGGACTGACTGATTTACGGAAATGGAAAAGACTGGAATGGACTTTTAAGTTAACCCCGAAACTTCTTCTGTTATTAACCTCCTCATCCCACTCTACCTGCCTATCCCCTCAAATGTCTGATTGGTCCCTTCTTTATACTGGAAACAGAGAGTGGAGGCCGACATGGGAATGGTTATAATTTGTTGTTGTTTAACAGTTAGCCTAGCTGTAAAAAAAAAAAGAAAAAGATGTTGTTGTTTTTTTACATGGGAATTTTTTTGTGATCACAGGATTCAAAAGTCACTGAGCAATATGTGAGCAAGGTTGTTTATTTCTAATGGCACCTGGTTTTGACATTTTTCATGGCCTGCCTGATAGAGTTGGAATCCTCTTTTTTTTTTTTGTGTATAGAAATATCGAATGGAGAATTTAAAGCAAGAGAAATGTCCAGTATGCAGCTGCTTTTCTCTCCCTGTCTCTTTACTAAGAGTTTTCTTTGTGGCATAATAATAGTGATGGCTAGTGTACGTAGGTTCTGGTGCAATAGAATTATTTTCTGTCAAATTGACTCAAACTATTGGGATCAAACCACATTTCATGGCTGCTTTATTTTCCTGTGTTAGTTTGATTTAGAAAGGAGAGGTACCATGCAGGAAAATCTAGTTGAGAAAGAAAACCCAACACTTTGTGCAATGACAGAGGATAGTTTTAGACAAAAAAAAAAGAAGTTCTTGTTGCTTTTTTCTCGCAGTAACTCTATGGCGTCCGACTCTTATTCTCGGTGATAACTTATATTACTGCTAGAATCGCTCCTTGTGGATAATAAGGCTCAGGAATCAGGGTCTGGGACATCTCACCTAGCAGTCCTGTAAACCAGGGTTATGGATGTCACTAGTTAGCTTTCAGAGTTTAACACACATTCCTGCCTCAGACTTGAACTTGAGTTTTTTTTTCCCCCACACACCATACAATCCTCAAACTGCTCCTCCTTCTCTGTCACCTCAGCTCTTTAATGGAACAATAATAGATCAGGTGCTAATCATTTCAGAAATATATTTACCTTATATGTTGGAGTGCACTTGTTGTTTATTCATGCCGACTAGCTTGTGCTCTCCAGGACTGCATTATTTGGCTGCCTCAGTGGAAGAGACTGCTCTGTGTTGACTTTGCCTTATCTGTTAGCTAGTTTGTACCTCATGTATGCAGTGAGTTCTACCTGAGACGACTGTGTGTGTGTGTTATGTTTGCTGCATTGTTTTGTCTGTTTGTGTGCAACTTAAAAACATTAGGAGTGTGTTGAGCTTAGACATGTGCTGTAAAGAATTTGAAGAAGTCCCTAAAAAAACACTACACTGATTTTTTTTTTTTTTTTTTTTTTTAAAGGGTTTTTCTGTAATGCCATGTGCGTCTGAATGTGATCCTGTTTAAAAAGACTGAAAAACTTGTGACATTTTTCTAAACAACGCCAAGTTGTCTTGCTCCTGTGTTTGTATAATTTTACTCTTAAATCGGGACATGTCATGGTGATTTCTATTTCTCAAACAGTTCACACAATTAGTGGTGAAACTACTGGAAGACAAAGATTCTTATGCAAACTATGAAAACATCTGGGACCTCTTTGATGAGAGACGTCGAATGATATATTGCCACTGTCTTGAATGGATTGGTTTTGTACAGCTAAAGCAACTTGTTCGTTCATAAAATGCTTTTAAAGAAACATGATCAGTCTTGGTAACTGTGGAAATGGTCAGTTTGTTGTCATCAGTTACTTGTTCGTTTCTCTGCTATGAGCAGGATTAGGAACTGTGAATGTGTTTCAGCCTTCAGATCTTTTTTTAAAAGAAGCATCATGTTTCAGATTTACAATAACTAAATAATGCAGAGTTGATCCTTGGTTCAACTGTTGGCTTTTTGTTCATTTTTCACCCATTATACTTAAACCTTTAAACAGAACGATTATAGTGTTTGTAATATGTAATGACAGTCCTGATGGTATATGTCCTCTCTCCCTGTTGATCTTATACACCCATGAGTAAATCACACAATTCTACAAATCTGTGTATTCAAATTCCCATTACTTTAGAATATCCACATCATGTCACCGCAGGGAAACTCCAGCCAGCAAACCACAAGTATACATGCCAGAGAACCTGGCCAGCATGACAAAGACTGTATGAACTATTTGGGAGTTTTGCACAAGGATACAGTGGGCTCAAGGGCTTGTTTCTCTCCCTTGCAAACTGTGGAACTGGGGCGTGGAAGACAGAATTTGTGAAAATGTCAACTGTTTAGATATTTAAGATGTATTTACTCTTTGAAAAATGTGGCAAATGTATTGCAGGACAGGAATAAAGATGTCAAGAATAAAACATGTCTTTTCTGATCTTTATCTAATTCACTGCATGCTGTGCTTAAAGTGGATATTTGCTGCCATCTACAGGTTGCTTTGTGTATCACATTGTGTATGCTTGTTTATTTCTGAATTATATACATTGACATATTTGGATGACAACATAAAAACGAACAAAAATTAAAACCTTTACACACACACGTTCACATTCGGGTAAGCTAGGTACAAATATTTTTATACTGTGTGTGAAGCATACACTTAATATTATCCACATGTAATTGATAAATGTAAGCAGTCCATAATAGAGTATGCACAAACAAACCAGAAAAAAAGATATAAATGGTGTCAAGATGAGTCAAATGTTTCCCAAGATTCTCTGTGTATGTTGACATTTGAAATTACGAGTTTGCAATTTCTGTGTGGATAACAGAAACCATGTCCATGCAGTCAGTTTCTGGAGCACGGTTGAGTTTCTTTTCTAGTCTTTGAAAGGATGTATTATGCAAATAAGATGACAGAGTAGTTTGAATGTATCAAGAGAGCACTGAAGAGCCATCTGAGGCTCAAAAAGAGCCAAGTCTCTGTCAGGAGAGAGAGAGAGAGAGAGTCCTCTGATAAACCCCAGAAAGAAAGAAAGAAAGAAAGAAAAGAAAAAAGACCAAACATATTCATTAATGAACAGTTGCATAGTTGTAGCATTGATTCATCATTTGTATTACAATTATCACATTGTGTATGCTTAAGTATGACAAACTGGGATGTTTACACAAATATTTAATAATTAACTGTATTTTAAGTATTATAAACACTGCTGACCTTTATCTGTCTTCTTGTCATATATCTTTCACGTGTGTATGGCAGGATAATCATGTGCCAGGCTGTGATGAAAGCTCAAAGGACAGTCATAAAACACGAGTTCACACGCAGTCTTACCGTCAACAGAGCAACAAGACGTTTTAACTGCTGAACTGCAGATCTGTTTCATTTTGGTAGAACACACACACAAAAGAAGCTTATTGATGCTTAAAAGAAAAGAAGGTGTGGTGAACATTGGTATGAATTAAGAAGATATTTGCCTCACTATACAAATGATGACTTGAGTATTTCAAGAAAACAGTAACGGACAGAACAAAGGTCAGCTGTTTGTGTGTTTTTCTGTGTTTGGTCTCACAATAACTAAAGCAGAAGGAGGAAGTAAGTATCTAGGAAACAAGGTATGGGGGCATTAAGGAAGTAGCTCAATGGAAATATTTCTAATTTAAAATAAATTCTTTAAATTCAACATGAAAGCTGTGAGAGTCAGACTTAGTTAAGAGAACAGATCATTTAACAGATGAATTCAATGTAAAGATACAAATGGTTTGCATTTTTTGAACAAGGCATTTGAAGGGTCTTTGCTTTTACATTTTGTAACTGCTGTTCTGGTGTTATTTATCTCACTCTATATGGTAACAGGTTGTATACTTGGTATCACTTGCATATATGGTTTTACATTTAATAATCATAAATTGTACATCTGTTTATAGATTTACAAGAGAAATAGACAATTTCTGAATAAAACAACCAAAGCCTGGCTTCTTCACTCGTCCTTTTATTTTAAATATTTCTAATATAATGTAATACAATTGGTTTATTGGGTCACTGGTGTTTTCTTGTCTTGCTTGTTTATCTTTTGTAGCCTAGTTTTTGCTTTTAAGGACAGATCATTTGCATAAATGTGAGGCTGCTCTCTTATTGGTGTTTAACGGTCATAAAAAAACAGGAGGTCATCCATAAATCTGGGGCAGACGGGAAGCCGAGAGTTTGTGAGTGTACGTGATTGAAGAGATACACAGAGTGCTGTTTTCCTTTCAGATCAACCTTAATCATGTCATTCAATGAGTCTAAGATTAAGAAAATGCTTCCTAAGGTAAGAACGATTCAAAAGACTATAACAAACATGTAAAAACATGCTTTTTGTACACAATTGTTTTCATTGTTTGCTTTTTTTATCCTTTTGTCATGAAGACATATCTGCGTAAGCAAGTGACTCAGGAAATAAGCATTGCACTGACTCACTTCCAATTTCTTGTGCCAGTGATGGACAAACACGGTAAAATTAAAATGACCTGAACTTATTCAACATTGGGAACATTTGAAGTACAAAGGACACATTCATTGTTTAATGTTTTACAGTTTACAACGATGGAACCTCAAAGGACCTGATGAGTCTAACTGGAACCATTCCAATCAAGTGTCAAGGTAACAATGACTTTATATACTGAGACCATGTCCAAAAAAGGTCTATGTAGCTTTAAGACTGGATGAGATGCTAGCATGCTTCTACCTTTAAAACCTGATGCAACATTGGTGCATATTGTAGTTTTTTTTTTTTTTTAATGATGATTTAGGAATGATCTTTAGTGCAAAGGCAATGAGTTAAAGCCAATGGTTTACGCTCTCAAATGATTTTATTTTTATGTCTCTATCTGCTGCAGAAGTTGAAAAATAAAGATTTTACTAAATGTAGGAATTCTGCAAAGTTTTTTCTGAAATCCCTCAGTTTTTGGGAAGTTGTTTTCAAACGATAGGTAGGTTTTAGATTTAGGTTTAAGAGGTTGTTTTTTGAGGCGGCCCTAAGCCTAAATGGGTTAAATGGAAGCTGATTTTGACATAGTTTTCAATCGATTTAGATACAAAATATATGAAACATAAACTTTATAATCTCTAAGATGGTGTGTGATAAAAAAAGGAAAAATGTTTCCTCCTGTTCTGACACAAGACAAGACCTACAACATCCCAGTTTGCCTGTGGCTTGAAGAAAGCTTCCCCCAAACTGCCCCCATCTGCTACATCAGACCCACACAGGAGATGATGTTACTCAAAGGGAAGTTTGTGTCCAGCAATGGTGAAGTGAGGCTGCCTTACCTTGAAGAGTGGAAACATGTAAGACTTGAAATGTTATTGTGTATTCCTGGATATGGCTGCATGTTAAAAATGTACACATTCCGATTTTTTCCGGCCATATTTCATTTGTGTGTTGTTTTCTTTACACCTCTCAGGGTGAATGTGATCTTGTGAGCCTCTTGCAAGTGATGTGTGTCATATTTGGAGACTTCCCTCCTGTATGCATGAAGCAATATCCAGAGCCCGAGCAGACCTCTTGTAAGTAACACTCCCACAGGCAGTAAGCAAGCCTCCATGTAGTTTCAAAACATTGTATGCCCTGGATATAGATATGAATCTGACATTCATATCTAGGCTGCACGTGATCAAACATGAATAAAGGGCCTATACCCTTGTAAATCTAGGGCTGAAGATATATTTCCTTTGTCAACATGTTTTTGAATTTGTTGTGATTTACAACCAACCTTCATCAATGATACATTTCCTTGTTTTTTAGGTTGGCTGCAGTTCCAGAGACAAACACAGGTGCTTTCAGATTCAGATGGAAGCATGTATCTATGTTTACCAAGAGAAGACGACCAACAAGACCATGAAACAACCTGTTAGTCTTCAGTGATATTTTACAAATCATTTTTACAACAGTGTGCTGCCTGTGATTTTTGTTGTATCCTGTGCATAGTGTCAGATGGTATCCATTGATAAATCTATGTGTCATTATTAATTCTGTATTGGAAAAAATCCAAATGATTTAGATAGGTAAATGTCAAGTATGATAAAAACATATTGATTGGTTTTATGCTCTTATAATGGATTTCTTCTTTCTTCTTCTTTCTTCATTTTTCTTCTTTTGGTTTTTCATTGAACATATCAATGGCTTCCACATTTGAATGCCTGTAAATTAATTGACCTGAATGACAAACGTGACTTTTGGACTTTTGACTAGTGAAAAGATAAGTTACTCATTTGATGAACTTACACCCAGCCAATGCAGCCCAATAGAGGATTGTTTGTTTTTCTCAGTGTGCTTCAAAACCGTGTGAAAGAAGACTCAATGGATAATTTGAATACATTTTTAGATTACAGCATTTCACACAGAGCCAAAAGACAAAACTATCCCCAAAAACTGGACATTTAACAAATATTGTTGGCTGATCTCTTGTGAAAGTGTTGCTTTTATTCAGGAATAAAGGTGTGTTGTGCTATTAAAATAAATTCTTTGAAGTTCCCCTAATTTGTGATAGGCTATGGGATGGAAATCAATAATGGGATGTAAGTTAGAAATAATTATCAGCAAATGTAGTTCAGTAAGTGCTAGACCTAAACAACAAACAAAAAAGTTAGTGTTGATTAAATTTGAGATGTCACTTCAAAATCAAAGGCACTTTTCATGTAGCCTATTATTTAAGTTCAAACACACTGACAAAGTTAAAGCCTATTTTTCTGAAAAACATCAAAATGTAGGGAACATTTAGAAAAATAAATAATTGTACTGTAGGTCATACTTTACACTATAGCAAGTTACATATCGTTTTATCACTGTCATGGTTCAAAATCAATACGTAGCCTATCAATATGTTAATAGCCTATTTTTATACGCACACAGTGCAGAAATCAATTTAATAGTTTATGAAGGAAATGATAATGGCGTTATAAGATAAAATAAGATAATCCTTTATTTATCCCACAACGGGGAAATTTACAGTGTTACAGCAGCAAAGAGCAAAGATTGCAAACAAAAAGTGAACACAGTACAATTTAAAAAATAAATAAATAAATAAATAAAAATTAAGATTAAGAGTGATTAAAAATTAAGAATGTACAAAAAAATATATAGATACTAAAAATAGTATCATATCCATACATGATTAAGAATTAAATAAATTACGAGCTAACAACCATTGGGAATATTAAAATAAATTGGTTTATTACGAGCCCTGATAACAAATAACAATGTCCATAATATACATGATCACACCTCTATGACACGTCATTTTCAGACCGGAAGTTGTCAAGGTAGAATTCCGGAAATTCCTGTCGTCAACCAGCGGATATTTGTTTTTTTTGGTCTCTTTTAACAACTACCGATAACCTTTTTGGAGTGTTTTCAGTTTGAAGTGAGTGGGTGATTCTTGTCGTGTCTAAAAATAGACAGAACTCGTATTGGACTGGAGTGTGTCGTAGACAGCAAGAAGTGTCTGTAGTGTCGTCGGCCCTAGGTTGGGCTAGCATTAGCCTAGCATTCACTGAGGTCCTGCTAGCAAGTTTTAGCTTTTGTTAGGTGTCACTACAGTTGGCATTAAAGTCAGCTGTTCACGTTTTAACTTAATAGCAGAAACATCTATCAACCAAAACCATGGCTGTTGTCAACGAAGGAGCCCTGAAGAAGATGCTGAAGGTAAGATATCTATTCATCAGTTTCGGTAACGATAGCGAGCTAGCTAATACGAGCGATACTAAACATGATACATTATGCTATTTTATTAGCATGTTAAAGTTTACTAAAATGGTTAATTCAGAATTAACGACACATTTTCCTCATGTTAATTAGGTTAGATGGTTCATTTTGATCGCAAAAGTAAGCCTCCGTTTTAAAACATGACCACATACCTGTTATCACTTACATAATCACTTATATAATAACTCATTTAATAACTCTGATCACTATGTAAACAAACATTTCACTGTTTTTCATGTGACTGTTACAGCAGCTTTCCTACTGTCCAGTGAACTTTTGTTAAACCTTCAGAGTTGTTTTCGACCACTGTTAGCTCAAATACAACTAAATCCAGGATTTGAACTTGTGTTTAGTATAATTAGTTTGATTCTCCATTTGAAAAGGAGGCCTCTCAACAAACTTGAACAGCCTCCAGATTGTTTTTTTGAAAGGCCTGGTATAAAACATTATTGTCATTAGGTAGAGATTAAAGTAAACACCTGACTAAACTCCCTAAAATCAGTATCATAGTAAATGACTGAGCTTTTTAAAAGTGTTACAAATGTGTAATAGATTGTTTTGAAAGTTGAATTTTCATAAACATTCATGATATTTTGTCCTCTTTGTCTAGCAATACAAATACAGAGATCTGACTGTTCGTGAGATAACCAATGTCATCTCCCAGTACAAGGACTTGAAGCCTGTTATGGATGCTTATGGTAAAATGAATCCTCGTGTTTTCTTGGTTTGGTTTGGGATTTGTTGGATATGTATTCTTTCATTAAGAAGGTATATAAATTAACTTTTTGGATTTCAGTGTTTAATGATGGCTCCACAAGAGACCTGATGAGCTTGACAGGAACTGTGCCAGTGAGCTACAGAGGTAAATAAAGTTTTGCTGGCTTTGTTCAAAAATCACCATCACTGTGTCTCTAGAAACAATAGGCATCACATTGTTCAGAGGTGTAACCAGGAAGACTGGGCGATGGAAAGGTAAATGTCAACTTCTGTCTAGACTAGCATACTTGTTGGCTTACTCTTCCTCTCTCTATATTTGTGTTCTGAATATAGCTTGAGCTAGTTATCATGGATGTGTTTTTAAATTAAACTTGTCAACTTTAGGGTTAATTAACTTACAAAACGTTGTGTGTGGCAACATGTAGAGAGAATCAAAAGTACAATTTTAGAATGAATGTGTATCTGTAAACAAATTAATGTTTTGCTCAGGGACTGTGATTTGCAGATTTTTTTGACTGTTTCTGCTTCTTAGCTTCAACATCAAGCTACAGAACATATTACCACGAGCCCAAAGCCAAACCTGAAGAGTGTATGTGTGTGTTTGCAGGCAATGTCTACAACATCCCAGTTTGTCTGTGGATGCTGGACACATATCCCTACAACCCTCCCATATGTTTTGTCAAACCTACCAGTGCCATGATGATCAAAACTGGCAAGCACATCGATGCCAACGGCAAAATCTACCTGCCTTATCTACATGAGTGGAAGCATGTAAGTATTTTTTTTGTTTGTTATAAGCTGTTTATTTTGGACATGGCGATATTGAAATGTGCAAAATTAAAGTTGAACTATGATAAATGCATTATAACAGTTTAGCTTATTCAGGTATAAGTTTTGAGCTACGACTGCAGCACTCATAGAACATGAAAAATATAGACACCTGTGGTTATTTGGATATAATAAAGTTTATTTATTCATAAAGCGCTTTTCACAGACAAAGGTCACAAAGCGCTTTACATGAACAAAAAAACAACAACAACAGCATACATACAATGAAAGAAAAAAAAATGGTTATGTCTATGGCTACATATTTTGGGCATAATGGTGCTATAATGTTGGCAACAAACTGTCTTAAGCTAATATTTGAACAGTGACTTTTCTATGGGTCATTTGAAATAGCAGTGATTCTTTATTTGTTTTCTTGGTTAGTAAAATGTGCCCCTCCCTTTATTTCTTGTAGCCTCAGTCAGACTTGTATGGTCTGATTCAGGTGATGATTGTGGTGTTTGGAGAGGAGCCTCCTGTGTTTTCTCGTCCCACCACACAAGCCCCATACCAAGCCTTCCAAGCTGCTGGACCCCCTAACCGTGAGTGACATTTCTTTTGCTTTGGAAACAGCCTCATCTTCCGCAACAGCACCATAACGAAGCTCTGCTGTTAAAACACCCTTTATTTTTTGGCTTCTTATGTATTTATTTAGAGATGGGACAGTGGATAGAGTTAGAAACCGGGTTGACCCCGTGATGAGCCACCCAGCTAAGCAGAAGTTGCTCTGCCTCATCTCGACTTTTGTTGTACCTTGAAACGACATCTACTAGCACGTGCACGTCAAAGACAAGTTTAAAGCTTGCACTTTATGAATCCTCTAAGGGAAATTCAGTTTTGCTTTTGTTAAATTGCACTGCTAAAATTAAAGCACAACTTATTTTAATAATTTATACTTCTTTAGAAGCAAAAATTAATTAAAGTGGCAAAATGTTTTGTGTGAATAAATCTGAGATTTTATTTTAAGGCCTGATCACCCATCCCTACGTCTTTGTACTTTCATATTAATCCCACAATGGCGTAATATTGGTTTCCCAGTTTATGATTGCGTTACAGTGTTGCGTATGCAAACTGTGTAAAGAAACAGCAGGGGCTACTTCCACACGCGACACACATATTCAGACATGCACTCAAACAATCAGTGCTGTTCTCCCCTGCTGGCTCCGTCATCCTACAGTGATCCTGTCTCGCCCCTGTAACACCCTTTGTTTTGACCTCCAAAGATGATACAGAGTTGGCACGACTTGGTCCTCCCATTACGCCTCTGTGACATTCATAACGAAGGCGAGGTGTGACAGGGATGCAAATAATGCAACAAACCTATAATTTGAATAAGGCTTCAGTGTCAATGTGATATCTATTATGGCTGATGTTTGTAGGAAATTTGCCTTACTACTTTTAGAGACGCACCCATCCACTTTTTTTCAGTTCTGACCTGATTCTGACACATATGTACCGATACAGATCTTTTTTTAACCGTAATTAATATTGTTATTATGGTAGTATGTGTTAGGCTACACAAAGCTGTAGTCAACACAACCTTGCATTTCTTCTTTAAAGAACAAAATAAATAAATAAAAATGCAGAAAAATTAAAATTATTCAAAATAAATTGATTTGAACTTTGTCCTGGCTTCACATAAAAACAGAAAGCAGCAACAACTTTAAGGTTTTCAAATTAAATCTTTGAAACTGAAGTGCAAGAATGAAACTTTTTGTCACATAGAAGGACCTGTTCCATCTCGTCTGAACTCCCTGGTCAAATTGGGTCAAAATCAGACCGATATTAGAATGGTTCTGTCCCATCTCTAAATATTACATCACATTTTTAGAGATGCAGTTGTGCCCTGAAACACCAGATGGAGCTCAGACTCCATAATGTCACATCATGGCAAATGAAAGTACATGTGTCAGTGTGGGAATGAATGGGGGAGAATACTTTGACCTGTATGTCCTCAGATCTAATTGTTTCACCATCTCTCTCTCTGTACCTCAGCTTCATACATGCCTGGAATGCCTGCGGTCTCATCCTACGGCCCAAATCCTAATCCAGGGTAAGATGTGTAACAAAAGCAGGTCCCAGGCCTTTCCCTCAGCTGAAGCACATATATATGTCCTAACACGTCTTTCCTGGCATGTTTGTTTTGTGGTTTTTTTATCAGCTTATCAAACAGAAGCCAGTTTATCAGTAAAACACTGCACAACTGGTTCAGTTA